CATACATTGCTGAGTGAGACACCGAGGGACCGGTACTGCCGGGAAAGAGACTCTGAGAGACTTTTGGCTGAGGGACGGTGGGCTGGGAGAGAGACTGAGCATTCTTCCTGAACTTGAGTTGTAGCCTGGTGCTTCCCTAATAAACCCCGTAATCCGTGAGTTCTGTGTGGCCATTGCAGCGAATTATCGAACCCAGAGGAGAGGTGGTGGGTGCTTTGGGAGGAATGGTTGGTGAAAGGGCTGGAGGGAGGCAGCATGTCTGGCCTCGCAGGAATAGGCCTTGGGTTATTGATGGTAATTCTGTCTTCCTCTTGTGGGGTTCTAGGAGGTCAGAACATGTGGCCTCCTCTTCCTTTTTGCAGGACCCTTCTCTTGTCTGAATTTTTTTAGTGATATAAACATAATTCTTCTACTTCCGCATACTTCAGATGTTTCTTTATTCTTTAATTAATTAATTAATTGCCATTATAATTATGTGTCAGGCACTGTTACCAACTATTTGGTAGTTTTCAGGGAGAGAGCAGCTTAGTTACTGCTTGTGTTAACAGTATAAGCTCAAAAGCAATCAACAGTTAGATTTCAATCATCTAGCACTTATTCTTTCATTTGTTCATGTAATCATATTGGATGTTGGGCTGGGTTCTGGGCCAAGTGTTGTAAGTACAATGATGAATAAAGCATACCTTGGGAGTGTTAAAGAATATTGGGAAGAGAACTAAGCAGGGGAGCTGAGGTTTTTTTAATGCCTCTGGTGGCGTAGTGCCTAAGGCATTTGACTGCTAACCGGAAGGCTGACGGTTCAAACCTGCCAGCCACTCCTCGGAAGGAAGGTTGGGCAATCTACTTATGTACAGATACCACCTCAGAAACCCAAGGAGGGGTCTCTGTGAGTCGGGACCGAATCTACAGCAGTGAGTTTGGTGTTCTCGGTTTTGGAATGCACTGGGGGATGCAGCACACTTTCACAGGTAAAAGCGGCCGAGTATGGCAGTGGTTCTCAAATTTGAGAGAGGATTACTGTCACAATGCTAGGGGCAGGAGGAGTTTTTGGAGAAAACCTCTAGGTGTTCTGGTGCATTCCCACTGCAGGGGGCCTCCCTCCTCTCTTCTTTTTGTCCATCCACCTCCATCACTCCTGCCTTAACCTGGATAGTCACTGGTGTCCATTTTCCTGGAGGGATTCAGACTGAGACCACTACCCATCCTCTTTTTCATGCTCAGTAACTTCTCATATAAACTCACTTCCTTTTTTTGGAAAATAAAAGTGACTTCTGCTCAAGAAAACATGGCAGCCACTATCAGATGTATCAGATCATGTTTTATAACACCAATTCTTTTGTTTCTCTCTCAGTATCATTTTAGTTTGTGTTTTTACAATTTGTCAACCTTTTGTATGTACCTGGAATGATTCTATTTGGACTGTACAGAAGTAGAAGGAACTCTGATAGCACAGTGTCTAAGGCATCTGACTGCTAACTGGAAGGTTGGTGGTTCAAACCCACCATCCAGTCCACAACAGCAAGACGGGACAATCTGCTTCAGTAAAGATTTACCATCTCGGAAGCCCAGTGGGGGGGTTGCCGTTAATTGGAATCGACTCAATAGCAGTGCCTTTGGGTTTTGATTTATACAGAAGTAGTGTGCCATTCAGGTACTAGTGTATAATTATGCTATCAGATTTTAGATGTATATTTTTTCCCTCTATTTTGGTGAATTTAAAAAAGTTCTTAGACTGTTCAGAAATTGACACAGAAGTACCTTGTCATTATGAGTAAACAAACTGATTTCTTAGATGCAAAAAAGTAAACCTCGCTAGTGTACTAGTATGGAGCTCTGGTAGCGTAGTGCCTAAGGCACTTGACTGCTAACCAGAAGCCTGGTGGTTCAAACCCACCAGCCACTCCTCGAAACGAAGGTTGGGCAATCTACTTCCATAGTGATCCTGCCTCGGAAACTCAAGGAGGGGTCACTATAGGTGGAGTCTGACTTGAGGGCAAATAATAGCAACAACAAGTGTACTAGTACATCCTATTAGGTTGTAGGATATAAAATTGTCAGTTATAGGTCAAAAGTGGTCAGATATCATCAGTGCTGTCTAATTCACCCTAATACCAACCTTGGCCCAGTTCCAGTTTGGTTTGGTGCTTGAAGACTGAATTGGGAGATCCTATTACTTGGGTAGTTCTTTTTAGGCACTAGATAAGTAATGATTGAACCAATAAATCAATAATACTTACATGATCTATGTAGTCTGCTTTCTGTAGGGTAATGTGTGCTGATTTTGGGGCATGTGGAAGGGGAAGTGGGAAGACTACTTTTTTCTTCTTATTTAAAGCAGCATATTGGGAAAATGGTATAGTAAAGAAGAAAGGAAGAACTATAAAGTAGACATCTGTTCTCTTTTTTTTTAGATTTTAAAAGGCCCTGGTAGCATTATCTTTTTTAAAAGAAACTTAAAATAATTGCTGTTAGTAACTCATTGGAGTTTTAATTTTTTTTCCTTAATTAGGTCTCTCTTGATCTTAGATGATGTTTGGGATTCTTGGGTTTTAAAAGCTTTTGACAATCAATGTCAGATTCTTCTTACAACCAGAGACAAGAGTGTTACAGATTCAGTAATGGGTAAGAATTATTAATTTGCTTTATAGTACCTTTATATTTTAATTTAATTATATTTAAATATGTTGTTATTGTTGATTCTGACTCATAGCAACCCTATAGGACAGGGTAGAACTGTCCCATTGGGTTTCTTAGGCTATAATCTTTGTAAGAGTAGATCTCCAGGTCTGTATGACATACCAAGTCACTTACTGTGTCTTTATTTCTGTTGCAGGCCCTAAATATGTAATTCCTATGGAGAGTGGCTTAGGAAAAGAAAAAGGACTTGAAATTTTATCTCTCTTTGTTAATATGAAGAAAGCAGATTTGCCAGAACAAGCTCATAGTATTATAAGAGAATGTAAAGGTATAGTTACTTACTTTGTGTATGAAGAGTTTATGGGGCTATTTATTCCATTTTGTAAATTAAACTAATGAATATGATATTTAGCATATGAACACACTGAATTTTTTTCTAGGATATTTAGTGTTTTAAGTTCTTAATACCTTAAATGATAAACTTACTTTCATGCTATTCATTTATTTAGAAAATATTGAATGAACCACACACAGTATGTTAGGAATCTCACTGGTGAGAAGAGTGACATGAAGGCATGATACCTGATGAAGAGTAAAAGTATAATGAAAGACAGAATTTATTTATGTTTTTTGAGTTGAGATTTTATAGAAACAGTGTTCTAATTTGATAAGCAAAAACCAGTGTTACCTTAATTTGCATTTTTTATTAGCAAAGTTAAATATTTACTTGTTTATTGGGATATTTTCATTTTAAGAAATTACCCTTGACTCACTTTTCTTTTGGAGTTTAATCATTTTAAATTTATTTTTACATACATGTTAGCTAAAGATTTAAGTCCTTGGACATATTTTTCCAAATGTTTTTCCTCAGTTTATTGCATGCCTTTTAATTTCATTTGTAGTGTCTTTTGACATAAAGAAGTTAAAAATGTTTATGTAGTAAAAATGTATTAACACTTGAGATTATTTCTTCCATTGCTATTAATGCATAGGACTTACCTTTCTTCCTATCGAAATACCTGATTTTAAGTTAATTGACTTAAAAAATAATCTTAAACTTAAAAAAAACAACTGGATTTATATTCAGTATAAAGGTATTACATACCAGAAAACGACATTCACTGCCATCGAGTTGATTCCAACTCATAGTGACCCCCATTGGGTTTCCAAGGCTGTAAATCTTTTTGGAAGCAGAGTGCCTCATCTTTTTTCAATTGAGCAGCTGGTGGACTTGAACTCCTGACCTTTTGGTTACCAGCCAAATTCCTTAATATCCATTTTGAAACATTTAAAAAATGTTTGAAATGCTAAAGAGAAAATAGTAATTATCTATAATCTGATAATTATTAGCATCATGAGACTATTTCTTCCAGTTTTTTATGGGCATACAAAATTTTTTAGATGATTGGGCTTATAATAATTACGTATACATAGTTTTGAATCTTGCCCTTTTCATACAACATATCATGAGCATTTTTCTATGTAATTAAATATTTTTTTAAAACAAATTCAGCAGTGACATAATACTGTGATACATCTTAATTTATTCAACCATTTCCCTATTATTTAACATTATTTACATTGTTTAAGGTTTTTCATTATTTTAAATAGTGCTGTGATAAATATCCTTAAAGTGAACTTTTTCTTATTTCTAATTGCTTCCTTAGAATAAATATACTTAGCAGTAAACCCAAGGGTTATAAATATATTAAGACCCTGTATAACATGGAGCTCTGGTGGCATAGCGCCTAAGGCATTTGACTGCTAACCAGAAGGCTGGCGGTTCAAACCCACCAGCCGTTCCTCGGAAGGAAGGTTGGGCAATCTACTTCGTAGTGATACTGCCTCGGAAACCCAAGGAGCGTTCACTATGAGTTGGGTCCGACTTGATGGCAGTGAGTTTTGGGTCTGGATAACATGTAGTAGAAATTACTTCCTAAGAATAAGTTGATGCTTAAATTAGTGGTAATTTTAAAATAAGACGGTGATAGTACAGTGACTAGTTTTTCTTTTTTTTAAGGTTCTCCTCTTGTGGTGTCTTTAATTGGTGCACTTTTACGTGATTTTCCCAATCGTTGGGACTACTACCTCAGGCAACTTCAGAATAAGCAGTTTAAGAGAATCAGGAAATCTTCGTCTTACGATTATGAGGCTCTGGATGAAGCCATGTCTATAAGTGTTGAAATGCTCAGAGAAGACATGAAGAGTTATTACACAGATCTTTCCATCCTTCAGAAGGATGTTAAAGTGCCTACAAAGGTAACAGAAGGATCAGCAATTTTTGAGACTCATCGTTGGGTATTTGTGGCATCTAACCTTTGATGTTAATACCGAGCATATTGTAACAGAGCATATTGGAGGAAGATGAGATTCATGTGAATGGGGTGATAGGATGGAGGGTGCAGGATCCAACTGCTCTTAGTCTCCATCATGGGCTCTGTGTTGAACTAGTTACCTATTCTTACAGTGGTTCCATTGAAGCAGGGGAAACTTCCAGCTTCTCTCCCTTTGTTCTCTCTCCTTGTCCTTTCCATCTAAAGGAATAGTTGGGCTTCATTTTGTGGAATGGAGACATTCAGGGCTTTAAGACATGATTATTTTGGGTTAACATGTTGCCTGCAGTTCTGGTCCTTTTACTTTTGTGGCACATTCAGTGATTTAAATGATTCCTAGGTATTATGTATTCTCTGGGATATGGAAACTGAAGAAGTTGAAGACATACTACAGGAGTTTGTTAACAAGTCACTCTTATTCTGTGATCGGAATGGAAAGTCATTTAGTTATTATTTACATGATCTTCAAGTAGATTTCCTTACAGAGAAGAATCGTAGCCAACTTCAGGTACCTGCATCTTTTGTACATTCTTTTTCTTTTACCTTTTTATTTTGAAATAATCTTAAACTTACAGAAAAGTTGCACAAATACTAAGAGTAGTTCTATAAAAATAGCCTTTGCTTAGCTTCCCTTAGTGTTTACATCTTACATAACCATAATACAACTATCAAAGGCAGAAAATTAACATCAATACAATACTGTTGTTTGACAGTTTTCCCACTTTTTCTGGTCCAGATCCAATTCAGGATGCCGTATTGCATGTAATTGTCATGTTTTCTTAGTTGTCATTTTCCTTAGTCTCTAATCTGTGAAAATTCTTAAGTTTTTCTTTGTCTTCCTGGTCTTGTAACTTTTGAAGCGTGCTGGCCGTGGATTTTGTAGAATGCCCTTTAATTTGGATTTGTCTGATGTTTTCTTATGGTTAGGTTGAGGTTACGCATTTCAGGTAAGAATATCACAGAAGTGATATAGTGCCCTTCTTACTACATCATATTGAGGGTTCATGGTATAGTATGTGTTCTTACAGTTGGTTGTTAACTGTGGTCACGAGTTACTGTGATTTTTTGGTTTATGAAATTGTTTCTGTCCTTTGAAATGTGTAATTTGGATTTCAGGATTTGCATAAGAAGATGATTACTCAGTTCCAAAGGCATCACCAGCTAAACACTTTTTCATCAGATCAGGAGGACTGCATGTACTGGTATAACTTTCTGGCCTATCACATGGCCAATGCCAATATGCACAAAGTAAGATGATGCATTTATAAATCATTTTCTTTTATCTCACTTTCCTTTTGCCTATGATTAGGATTTTCTTTTATTAATAAAAATGGTTTTTATTGGACCATAGTCTATAAAAGTACTTCTGTTTTTGTTATTATCTTTCCCTTTAGTGATTTAAAAGATACCTTGTTGTTGTTGTTATGTGCCATCGAGTCGGCCCCGACTCATAGCGATCCCTCCTTGGGTTTCCGAGGCAGTATCACTACGGAAGTAGGATTGCCCAACCTTCCTTCCGAGGAGTGGCTGGTGGGTTTGAACCGCCAGCCATCTGGTTAGCAGGCAAGTGTCTTAGCCACTATGCTACCAGAGCTCCCAAAAGATACCTTAGTAATTGCAAAAAAAGGTTCCTAGTGGTGCAAACAGTACTAGCCTACAGTTTGGCAGTTTGAACCCACCCGGTGGCACTGTGGAAGAAAGGCCTGGCTGTCTCCTTCCATAAAACTAATAGCCAAGAAAAATCCTATGAAGCAGTTCTGCTCTGTAACACATGAGGTGGTCGTGAGTCAGAACTGACTCGGTGGCAACAAGGTTGTTTTCTTTTCTGTTTGTTTTAGTTATTATGGTAAATGAACTTGCTATAAATTCACATTCTTACCTTCTTTTGTGGGTAATATTCATTTACTTTTATGCTTTAAGAAGTGGAAGGTGGAAGGTGGAAAAGTAATTAATTCAACAGCTATTTATTGAGTGCCTCTTGTGTTAAAGAGTACCAGAAAGATGTTTACCTGTGTTATATTGACTGTGCAAAGGCATTCGACTGTGTGTATCACAACAAATTATAGATAACGTTGCGAAGAATGGGAGTTCCAGAACACTTCATTGTGCTCATGAGAAACCTGTACATAGACCGAGAGGTAGCCTTTCAAACAGAACAAGGGGATGCTACAGGGTTTAATATCAGGAAGGCTGTGTGTCAGGGCTGTACTTATTTCACTGTGCTTCCTTAGTCTGTGTGCTGAGGAAATAATCCAAGAAGCTGGACTATATGAAGAAGAGTGTGGCCTCAGGATTGGAGGGAAGATTCATTAACAAACTGCAATATGCAGATGACACAGCCTTGCTTGCTGAAAGTGAAGATAACTTGAAGCACTTGCTTGCTGAAAGTGAAGTTGACTTGAAGCACTTACTGGTGAAGAAAGATCAAAGACTACAGCCTTCAGTATGGATTAGATCTCAACATAAAGAAAATGAAAATCCTCACAACTCGACCAGTAAGCAATAGATCGAGAAAGGATTGAAGTTGTCCAGGATTTCATTTTACTTGGATCCACAGTCAATGAAATTAGATGTCATATTGCACTGGACAAATCTGCTGAAAAGACCTCTTTAAAAGTGTTCAGGAACAAAGATGTCCCTTTGAAGATTAAGGTGTACTTACCCGAAAGCATGGTATTTTCAGTCACCTCATACATGTGTGAAAACTGGACAATGCATGAGGAAAACTACAGAAGAATTGATGCTTTTTTAATTGTTATTGGTGAAGAATATTGGAAATACCATAGAATGCAAGAAGAATGAACAAGTCTGTCTTGAAAGAAGTACAGCCGGAATGCTTCTTAGAAATGAGAATGGCCAGACTTCATTTTACATACTTTGGTCACATTGTCAGATGGGACCAGCCCCTGGAGAAGGATATTATGTTTGGTAAAGTAGAGGGACAGCAAAAAAGGAGAAGACCCTCAGTGAGATGGACTGACAGAGTGGCTGCAGCGGTGGGCTCAAGCATTGCAAAGATTGTGAGGCTGGCGCAGGACTAGGCAGTGTTTTGTTCTGTTGTACTTAGGGTGGCTTTGAGTCACAACTGACTCAACAGGTAAGCAGTAGCATGATACTCTGATACTGTTCTTACATTATGAGGATGTAGCATAGGCACAAGGTCCCTGCTCTTACGAAACTTACATTCTGCAGGGAGAGAGACAATAAGCATACGTTTATAATATGTCAAGAAGTAGTATATGCTCAGAAGAAGGAAGAAACAAGGAGAAAGGAAGTGATGAATAGGGGTGGAATTGTCATGATTTGCTAATGGATTTGAAGTTTATTATGAGAGAAAGTCAGATGACTCCAAGCTTGTGCAGTGGAAAAAATGGAGTTGCCATGAACTGGGGAAGGCTATGGGAGGAACAAGTGGATTTTTTTTTTTCCTTTTTGATGGGGCTGGTTCAGAATTTACTTTGAAGTTATTAAATCTGATACAACTATTAATAGTGGACATGCTCAGTGAGAATATATGAATCTAGATTTTCAGATAAGAGCTTGGGAGTAAAGATAAAAATTGGAACTCATCAGTACATAGATGGTATTTGATCGCATGCATTTTCAACTAGCTACTCAAAATGTTAATAACATTTTGCAAAATCATATGTATTGTAGTAATTTTTCTATGGTTTTAGTTATAAAAATGATGTACTGTTTTGTAGCCTGCTTTTTTTTTTCAATAGCGAAATAAAGTTTACATTTAATAGTCTGCATTGCAATGATGGCTTTCCAATAAATGTCTTTGCCCCAATTTACTTAATCAAATTCTAATTACTGATCGTTGAAATTATTTTCAGTTTTTTGCTTTCATGATACTGTAACGGATGCTCTTTTTTTATCTTTCCACTGATACTATTTCCATGGAAAATTCCTAGAAGTGGAATTACTGGTCAGTTTTCAAAACTTTTGATTATTGTATGATAATGTGGCAGGATTCAATTTCTTCTTCTTTTTTTTTTTTTTTAGCTTTTTTTCTGATTTTGAAGGTAATGGTTTATTTTCACTGGAATAGTTTAAGAGAAACAAAAAGTACAAAGAAGAAAATGAAGATCACAACCATTCCTAATGATTTTGTGTATAGTTTTCTAGATAATTTTGTGCTTAGAGAAAAACATTTGTTTTTAAAATGCAATTGGGCTCATACTAGAAATAGAGGTTTTTTGTCCCCCTTGTGATAATACATACACAAAAGCTACCCCTGTTCAGGAGGGTTTGCATGTACATTGACAGTGGCCACATTGTGTCACCATGCTCATGATCTCTTGCCTCTATTGATTCACCAATGCTTCTCTGCTCCCAGAAGTTTTCATCTGAGCTTTAGAGTCACTGGGGTCATTTCGATTTCATGTGGGTAATTCTGTAGTAGAGCATGGTACTCAAAGTACACATTCTTTATTTGAGCAAAATAGGTGTTTAGTTTGAAGATGCCTTCATGGCATAGTTTTTGTTCAAGGTTCAAAAGTTGTCTCCAGGCATTAGATTTGGGGATCCCTCCATCTCATTGTGTCCAGTAAGCCTGGTTTCCAGTAAGAATTTGAAGTTCTGTAGAAATAGAAATTTATAACTTGCTTTTTTTTCCCTAACTTAATTATATTTAATGGTTATCTTTTTAATGGCAATTTATATAGATTGACTTTAGTTTGAAAACTGCATATTATTTTACTGTGTAACTGTATTATAATTGGGCAGTTGATTGATGGATAGTTAGGTTAAGTGTACTCACCTGATTGGTTTTTTAGGCTATATTCTTGTAACTAGAATTGCTGGGTCCAGTGCTGTGTGCAGTTGAATTTTAATACAGATCAATCGCTAAGCTGCACTCCAGGAAAGGTGCTCTAGTTTTGGTTACTATCAACAGTATGTGACAGTGCTCATTTCCTGTGATTACAGCAACTATTCTTATTATCATTCCTTTTAGTCTTTAGAAATCAGATATATATATAAAATCTCTGTTGTTTTGGTTTGATTACTGGTAAAATTTTTGGTGATCTCTACATCTATATTTTGTGAATTGGTCCTATCTAGTGCTTTTTACCTATTTTTCTATTTGTGTTTTCCTTTTTCATTGTTTTGTTAGAATTTTCCATAAAGTAGAATATGAAACCATTGTCACCAGTATTTGTCTTTTTCATGTTTTGCAGTGCAGTCATGTTTACTAAGATCTCCTTCACCTCACAGTTACAAAAATGTTTACTTTTGTCATCTGGTATTTAAAAAATTTTTATATTTACATCTCTAAATCCAAATTTAATTTATGAGGTCCATTTTATGTTTCTTTGGAACTATTGGTGGGTTCTTTTTTAGTAGGTCCCTTTTTGCCCTTAAACTCCAGATATCTGCTAAATTTCTTATAAGTACTGTTAGGATAATGGTGGTATACTTAAAATTTTATGACCTCTTTAACAGTGCTGTGATATTACTTCTTTTTTTAAAGGAACTTTGTGCTTTAATGTTTTCCCTGGATTGGATTAAAGCAAAAACAGAACTTGTAGGCCCTGCTCATTTGATTCATGAATTTGTGGAATACAGGCATATATTGGATGAAAAGGTATATGTATGAAAAATTGGTTTTTTTAGAGACACTTTGTTTTAGCCTTTAATTCTATGTGTAATAGAGTAGAAGGGGTAAAGAAAGATGATTTTCCTACTTTGATCTCCTTCTTATTCTAATTATTTTGCTTCCCAGCCTACTTATTACCTTCTTTTTACCTGGTGTTCTAAGTATATGGATGGGATTAAGGTTTAAGAGAATAGTGTTCAGTGGTTTTTAGTGTGTTAAGAAAATAACACTTTGACAATGAGAATTTTACCCTATGCTTCCAAAGTCAGGAGGTCCCTATGTAATAAGTTACCTAAATAGTTGGCTATTCAATTTTAGTTCAGATAGAAGATGTCTCATTTGAGTATACAAAGTGACAAGATCACAGAAACAGAAAAATGTCAGATAACTGGTTCTAGCTGTGTTTCTAAGAGATTTCATGTTGTTTGCAGGATTGCACAGTCTGTGAGAATTTTCAGGAGTTTTTATCTTTAAATGGGCACCTTCTTGGACGACAGCCATTTCCTAATATTGTGCAGTTGGGTCTCTGTGAACCAGAAACTTCAGAAGTTTATCAGCAAGCTAAGCTGCAGGCCAAGCAGGAGGCCGATAATGGAATGCTTTACCTGGAGTGGATGTAAGTAGGTTAGAAGAGAAACCATAGGGAGCTATGTACTTTGTCATTATGTTTCAGGGTGAATAAGTTCACTCAGGGAAGATTTAACTACTTTGAACAGAGCTGTGACTTTTAATAACCATTTTTACTTACTGAAAAGTTGCCAAGAAGTAACCATAGGGGAAAATAATTGTATTTTCAAAGGGTCTTTGAAAGCTATGTATTATTTTATTATATAACTATATTATAATTGGCCAATTGATTGATGCTTGCCTACATAAGGTATTATGACAAGCCATCGTAAATATTAATACCAAATGCTTGACTTTATTTCAATGTAGTGGAGTATGAAGAGACTTTGGAGGCACAGACCTGAGTTTTCTAGGCTGTAATCTTTGTGAATGCACGTAACCAGGACTTTCTTCAACAGTGTTTCTGGGTGGGTTTGAACTGCCAACCTTTAGGTTAGTACCCCCCAAAAAACCAGACCTGTTGCTATTGAATTACTTCTGACTCATTGTACCTATGGGACATGTGAGAACTGCCTCATAGAGTTTCCAAGGAGCAGACTGCTACATCTTTCTCCTATAGGTTCGAACCACCAGCCTTTCAGTTACCACTGAGTGCTATAATCACTGTGCTACCAGCACAAATGGTTTGTATCACCTTTTCTCATATTTAAAATGGAGATAACAATCTTTTGGGATAGTGACTACTTATGTTGTTGTTGTTACATGCCGTTGAGTCGGACCGACTCATAGTGACCCCTCCTTGGGTTTCTAAGGTAGTATCACAATGGAAGTAGATTGCCCAACCTTCCTTCCAAGGAGTGGCTGGTGGGTTTGAACCACCAGCCTTCTGGTTAGCAGTCAAGTGCCTCAGGCACTACGCTACCAGAGCTCCCAGTGACTACTTATATGCAGATTTAAATGACATAATAGTTATAACTGCCACTCGTCTGTCAGTTTGTTGTATTATAATGGCTTCTGTGTTGCTGTGATACTAGAAGCTGTGCCCTTGGTATTTGAAATACCAGCAGGGACACCCAGGCAGGTTTCAGTGGCGCTTCCAGACTAAGACAGACTAGGGAAAAGGACAGGATCATCTGCTTCTGAAAACATTGGCCAGTGAAAACCTTATAAATACCACTGAAACACTGTGTGATATGTTACTGGAAAACTTTATGAATCGCAGTGAAATATGATCTGATACAGTGCCAGAAGATGAGCCCCAGAATATGACTGGAGAAGAGATGGAAGGCACTCAGAATATGACTGGAGAAGAGTTACCTCTTCAAAGTAGAGTTGGCCTTAATGACGTGGATGGAGGAAAGCTTTTGATACCATCATTTGCTGATGTGTCATGACTCAAAATGAGAAGAAGCCACTGCAAACATGCATTAATAATCAGAACATGGAATGTATGAAGTATGAATCTAGGAAAATGGAAGTTGTCAGAAATGAAATGGAATGTATAAAGATCAGTATCCTAGGCATTAACCAAAATCAAAACCCAAACTCACTGCCATAGAGTTGAATCTGACTCCTAGCGACCCCTCCTTGGGTTTCTGAGGCGGTATCACTACAGAAGTAGATCGCCCTGTCTTCCTTCCGCGGAGTGGCTGGTGGGTTTGAACCAGCAACCTTCTGGTTAGTAGTCAAATGCCTTAGGCACAATGCTACCAGAGCTCCCTCCTAAGCATCAGTGAGTTGAAATGAACTGGTATTGGCCACTTTGAATGAGACAGTCATATGGTCTATTATGCCAGGGATGAGAAAGAAGAATGGTATAGCATTCATCATCAAAAAGGACATTTCAAGATCTGTGCTGAAGTACAATGCACTCAGTGATAGGATGATATCCATACATCTAAAACCAAAACCAAACTCACTGCCATCAAGTTGATGCTGACTCATAGCGACCCCTCCTTGGGTTTCTGAGGAGGTGTCACTATGGAAGTAGAGTGCCCTATATTCCTTCTGTGGAGTGGCTGATGTGTTTGAACCACCAGCCTTCTGGTTAGCAGTCAAATGCCTTAGGCACTATGCCACCAGAGCTCCTTTCTAGGCATTAGTGAGATGAAATGGACTGGTATTGGCCACTTTAAATGAGACAGTCATATAGTCTGCTATGCCAGGGATGAGAAAGAGGAATGGCATAGCATTCATCATCAAAAAGAACATTTCAAGATCTGTGCTGAAGTACAGTGCACTCAGTGATAGGATGATATCCATACATCTAAAACCAAAACCAAACTCACTGCCATCAAGTTGATCCCTACTCATAGCGACCCCTCCTTGGGTTTCTGAGGCGGTATCTTTATGGAAATAGATTGCACAATCTTCCGAGGAGTAGCTGGTGGTTTTGAACTGCCAGCCTTCTGGTTAGCAGTCAAATGCCTTAGGCACTACACCACCAGAGCTACCATCCATACATCTACAAATAGTTAATACTACTATTATTCAAATTTATGCATTAACCACTGAAGTCAAAGATGAAAAAATTGAAGATTTTTACCAATTTCTGCAATCTGAAATTGACTAAATACACAATCAAGATGTATTGATACTTACTGGTGATTGGAATGCAAAAGTTGGAAACAAAAACATCAATAGTTGGAAAATATGGCCTTGGTGTTAGAAATGAATGACACCAGAGAGCACAGTGTAGAATTTTGCAAGGCCAATTACTTAGTCATCGTAAATACCTTTTTTTCAACAACTCAGACGGCTGCTGTACATGTGGACCTTGCCAGATGGAATACATAGGAATCAAATTGACTATATTTATGAAAGGAGATAATGGAGAAGTTCAGTGTCATCAGAACAAGGTCAGGAGCTGACTGTGGAACAGACCATCAATTGCTCATATACAAGTTCAAGTTGAAGCTGAAAAAAATGAAAACAAGTCCATGAGAGCAAAAATACCATCTTATTTATATCCTACCTGAGTTTTGAGACCATCTGAAGGATAGGTTTGATTCATTGAACACAAGTGACCGAAGACCAGACAGAGTTGTAGGTTGACATCAAGAACATCATACACGAAGAAAGCAAAAGGTCATTAAAAAGACAGGAAAGGTAGAAAAGACCAAATGGATGCCAGAAGACACATTTCTTTTCTATAGAGAGTAGCTAAAGCAATTGGAAGAAATGATAAAAGAGCGGAGCAGAAGATTTCAAAGGATGGCTCGAGAAGACTAAGTAAGGTATTATAATGAAATGTGCACAGATCTGGAGTTAGAAAACCAAAAGGCAAGAACTTGCTCAGCATTTCTTAAGCTGAAAGAACTGAAGAAAAAATTCAAGCCTCGACTTGCAATATTGAAGGATTCTATGGGCAACATATTAAATAATGCAGGAAGCATCAAAAGAAGATGGAATGAATATTCACACAGGAAAAAAGAATTGGTAAACATTCAGCCATTTCAGGAGGTAGCATATGTTGAAGAACCGATGGTACTGAAGGAAGAAGTTCAAGCTGCGCAGAAGGAATTGACTAAAAACAAGGCTCTAGGAATTGAAGGAATATATATTGAGACGTTTCAACAAACGGAAACAACATTGGAGGCGCTTACTCATTTATGCCAAGAAATTTAGAAGACAGCTGTCTGGCTAGTCGACTGGGAAAGATCCATATTTGTGATTGCAAAGGCAGGTGATTTCAACAAAGTGCAGAAATTATCAAACAATATCATTAATATCACGTGAAAGTAAAATTTTGCTGAAAATAATTTAAAAATGATTGCAGCAGTATATTGACAGAGAACTTCCAGAAATTCAAGCCAGATTCAGAAGAGGATGTAGAACAAGGGATATCATTGTTGATATCAGATGGATCTTGCCTGAAAGCAAAGAATACCAGAAATATGTCTACCTGTGTTTTATTGACTATGCAAAGACATTTGACTGTGTGGTTCATAACAGATCATGGATAACGTTGTGAAGAATAGGAATTCCAGAACGTTTAATGGTGCTCATGAGGAACCCGTACATAGACCAAGAGGTAGTCATTCGAACAGAACAAGGGGATACTGCATGGTTTAAACTCAGGGAAGTCTGTGCATCAGGACTGTATCCTTTTTACCATTCTTATCCAATCTGCATGCTGAGGAGATAATCTGAGAAGCTGGACTACATGAAGAATGCGCATCAGGAGTGGAGAAGACTCATTAACAACATATGATACACAGGTGACACAACCTTGCTTGCTGAAAGTGATGATGACTTGAAGCACTTACTGATGAAAATCAAAGATTACAACCTTCAGTGTGGATTACATGTCAACATAAAACAAAAATCCTCACAGCTGGACCAATAAGCAGCTTCATAATAAATGGAGAAAAGATCGAAGTTGTCAGTGATTTCATTTCCCCTGGGTCCCCAATCAAAGCCCATGGAATTAGCAGTCAAGAAATCAGACAGCATGTTGCACTGGGCATATCTGCTGCAAAATGTTCGACAGACAATATTTCTACATAAGTATTTGTGTTATAAAAGTGTCCATATGCATTATAGAGCTAACAGGGCAAAGTTAGGATAACTTCTTAGCTAAAACTGAGCTATCTTGAAGGAGTGAGTTACTGGGCCTGAGGGCTGGGGACCATGGGACTATGGTCGTGGGGGACATCAAGCTTAGTTGTTGTTGTTGTTGTTAGGTGCTGTCGAGTTGCTTCCGACTCATAGTGACTCCATGCACAGCAGAATAGAACACTGCCGATCCCGCACCAGCTCCATGATCCTTGCTATACTTGAGCCCATTGTCGCAGCCACTGTGTCATTCCATCTCGTCGAAGGCCTTCCCCTCTTTTGTCGACCCTCTACCTTACCAAGCATGACATCCTTCTCTAGAGAATGGTCCCCTCTTGACAACATGACCAAGGTAGGTGAGATGAAATCTGGCCATCCTCACTTCCAAGGAGCATCTCGGTTGCACTTCTTCCAGGACAGATCTGTTAGTTTTTTGGCAGTCCATGGTACCTTCAGCATTCTTCACCAGCACCACAACTCAAAAGCATCAAC